ACCCTATGCCTCCCGAGGACCCGGCTCAGACCGCACCACAAGGGCCCGGAAACGGGTCAACACACCGGCCTTCAGTTCCTCCTACGCCACCACCGAGGCGCGCGAACCCGGAACCGAGCTAGAGCGGCCGCACAGGTGATGCTCAGGCCGGTGTCATCTGCAGGTGTGGGCGCCAGGGAAGCCTGCGTCTCACGCCGGCCCCCAGCCGCCGGCTCCCGCTGCAGAGAAACCCGTCGGCGTGTGCTTTCAGCTCGATTGCACAGGTGTCCTAGTTTTAATGTTTGGGTTTTTAACCGGCCGGTTTTGACTTCATTTCCGCCCGAATCCAAAATGGACGCCTCTGGCTTCAGACAAGTACGGTAGTAAAGGGGCGGGACAAAAGGAGGAGTTTGGTGCTGAGACAGAACTTTTCCGGTAGTGACTCTCCGCTTCCTGGACACGTGATTGGCCGAGCTACCTGGGAAGATTTTTTTTTTTTTTTTTTTTTTTTTTGAACCACTGGTGAAGTTGTCAGAAATCATGGTGATTCTGGCATTTTTAGATTTGAGACTTCAGCCTGGAGTCAATTCATTCATTCTTTGATCATTGATCCAAGTCCAATTGTGGATGGGATCTTGGATAACCTGTTTCCCGTTCTCCTAAACACGATGGCCATCTACACTTCCAAAATTAACAAGAAAATTTCCTGCTGAATGAATGAGAGAACTGGAAGACACACTACTTTCCTGTTGTGCGATTATTTTACTCTTGGCTTTTAGGGGGCCTGCCACCCAGCACCCAAAATAATACATGGAGTCTTATTCTTATGAATGTCTGGCCTTATCTTGGCTTGTTTCCAGCCAGCTTTTCTTAACGTAAATTACTCTTCTTACCTTTTGCCTCTAGGCTTTTTTTGTTTTCTTACGTCTGTTAATCTTCCCCTTACTGTGTGGATTGCTGTGTAGCTGGATGGCTGGCCCCTGCGGCCCTCCTCTCCTCTCTTGCTGCTCCTCTTCTTTCCTATTTCTCCTTTTATTTATACTCTTTATCTGCCTGCTATCCTTGTTTGTGTCTTGCTATTGGCTGGTTGTTGAGCTCTTTATTAGACCATCAGGTGTTTTAGATAGGCAAAGAATCACAGCTTTACGGAGTTAACAAATGCAGCATAAACAAAAGTTACACACCTTAAACTAATATCCTTCCCACTACTTATCTACTCACTTACCTATCTGTGATTTCACTCAGGTCTCTAAATAAATCAACTCTTAAATCCCTGGATTAAGTCCCGTTATTTTGAAGCCACAGGTAAACTTTACATTCCCCCCTAATAAGGATTCTGATCATTCTCTCCAGTGGACATTTAACTCTGTAGCAAAAGGGGACACACAGATTTGACTTTCCTAACTGGATGTAGGTGATAAAAGTTTTGTTAGTGTGTAGAGGACACAGGACAGCTCGGGTGATATTCCTCAGCAGGACGGTGGACATGTTCTGGAGACAAGCTTCACTGACTTGCAACTCACTGATTAAGCTAGGATCTCTGTCTGGGGAACCTCAGGAATCCACCTGTTTTTGCTTCCCCAGTGCTGGGAGTGCAGGCTCCTGCCAACACCCTGCATTTTTAAACGTATGCTCTAGGGATGAGACTCAGGTTCCAAGCACTTTACTGATTGAGCTCTCTTCCTAGAGCTGCCCTCTACCCCCAACAAAATTATAGAGCATCTGCACATGAGCCTGACTTGGAATCCTAAAACTTCGTGCAGATTTTGGGCCCACAAGATTCTTATACTCTAATGGAAGGCTGAGGGCTGGCAACCTTTCAGCCTATTTGACCTATCTTGAAGTTACTCATTTTGGCAATGAAAATTCACTTTTTAACATCTTTACAAGTACTGTTAGTCTGCCTTGGGTGTGAGAAGGGCATTTTTCACAGTATCATGACTCTGAAGTATAGATTTCTAATTGAAATCCTTCAGATGCCAACCCCTCAACTGTGAAGTTTCTTAACGCCCAAGTGCACACAGATTATCTCAGTCTCTTGTTCAAGAGACATATTGGGGAAAATAATAGATGCATTGAGTTGTTTAGGTCTTCTTTGAGTAGAGTATTTCATGTGCTGATTTAGATTTTTTCCTTATGGATGGTTGGTGCTTCATTTGGAAGCGTGTTAAAGATGCAGAATCTGGGGACCTGTGAAGCTGGAGACATGCTTAGTGATTAAGAGAACTTGCAGGTTTTACACAGGACCTAGGTTCATTTCTCAGCACCCGTTTCAGGCAGTTCACCCGTTAATTCCAATGCCAGGGGATCTGATGCCCTCTTCTGGCCATCAAGAGTAATAGCTCATGCGTAATCTGCCATTTCCCTCTTTTGCCTTATCTTTTAGTCTTCCACTCAGCTTGCCCACTCACACTAGCCCCCTTGATGTCCCTAAACTCAGATGGACATTTGATTTGTTTTAGAACTTTTTTCTCACTCTTCCTTCAGTCTTTCATCCCCCAACCTTTGATATTCACTTAACTAAGTCTCTCATGACCTCCTACTGTATCTCTGCTCAAAATACTATTTATTGAAGTGCACCTTGACCTATGCTATCTAATATTGCAGCCTTCCCCCTCTGACAACTCCATTGCCAAAGCTTCTTAACCTGTTTACTTTTGTATTTTTCTATTGTCCCAGAGGTCTCACATATATGTTTTATGAAGTGTAAAAATGACAGGTTTCCTTAATGTTCCTAGAATTTGGAAGCATTTAACCACAAGTATCATCCCATAACAGTTACATAAAAATGTAACTATTTTTCTTAGAGTCATCAACTATACTTATGGCCCTTATGTGTGATGGCATTATAGATTGATCAAGCACAGGAATTCCTACCTATTATGTTATGTTGTATTATGTTTACTTCTAGGGGCAGAGGTGAATTTTGGGTTTGCTTGTTTGGTTTGTTTTTCAAAACAGAGTCTCACTGTGTAGCCCTGTGTGTTCAGGAACTAGCTCTGTAGACCAGGCTGGCCTCAGCCTCACAAACACCCACCTGCCTCTGCCCCCAGTTGCAGGGATTAAAGATATGCACCACTGCCCGGCAATTCTGAGGTTTTTATTTAACAGAGATGCAAACAAGAGCCAGGCACAACCAATGACTTTAATGGTTACAGGTACCCTGACCTGTAGGACACTGACCCAGCAAACATGTGAAAACAAGAAAACTAATTCCAAAGGTTTTAGAGTCTTATTAGATTTTGCCCTCATTTTTGGCAGTAAAGTTTATTTTCAACTATTTTCTTCAAAGATTTTAAAAATTCTTTCACATATTTCCCCCAACTTTGTTATATTCTCCCCCCTCCGAGTATGGTACAAAGGCCATTATGTAAAGAATTCACCAACCCAGTGAACTGGTACACAATAGTGTGTATAGCCAAATGACAAGAGACACTTGTATGAGAAAAACAAAACACACAACAGAATGGCTGCCTCTTCGATTCTAGTCAGAAAGAAAGGTAGTAGCAGTAGAAGCCCTTGTTTGCCTTTCTTGTCTTCTCCAAAAAACAGAAAAGCAACAAAACAAAACTAAAAACCTCTAGAGGAATCAGTGGAAATGTGTTCAAACCACAGTATGCAAATAAGGCATTTTAGCAATATCGATTTCCTATTACACATTGAACAAAATGTGTAAGGTTGAGGAGATGCAGGAACTTTAACAACAAGTCCTAAGCTCTATGCAGTTGGTGGCATGTGCTTATAGCCTCGGCAGTCGAAGGGGGATCACTGTGCATTGGGGTCATCCTAGATGACCAGTGAGATCCCATCTCAAAACCAATAAAACACAAAATAAACATAGAATTGAGAGGCTTGGAAAGAAGTGTTCTTAGTTGATGGAAATGATCAAAAATCTCTGCCATCACAAGCTTGCTCAGAGGCCACTGAAATTGTATATACAAAATGTCTACAAGGACACCTGCCTGACAAGTGACAAGTGATATACATTTATCATTGTGATCAAGGATTATTGTTCCTAATTGTATGTAGTGATTCTCCCCATGTCTGTTTTTGAAAACATTTCCCTGCTCCGTTACAATCAATATGCCCACAGTTTACTCTGACATGTGTATTCCTCTTGCAATGTTGTGCTATCTCCAAATAAATAATATTGTTACTTTAAGTCAAAAGTAATTAGGAATTACAGGATAATTTGATTGTACCAATGGAGTTTTTCAGAAGGAGTCACTGAAAAGGTAGAACAAACCATTGATTTAGGAGTAAATTTAGTTACAGAAGGGAGCTGGGTTCACTGGAGACTCCCCTGCTCCCTCTGGTGGCAAATGCACAGTGTCACCTACTTCTCTGGGTAGATCAGGCTGGCTTGCAGCCTGAAGGCTGAAATTATTTGTGTGTTGTCTTAATTTTGAGGCCTTTTATGGCTGCCTAAAAAGTAGTTAGACTTATGAGAAAAATATAATACATACATACAATAGAATATTACTCCACTACAGGAAGAGATGAGGTCTTCACAGTATGCAAAATAGATGAGCTATGAGATCAATCAATTACACATCCACTTCCGTGTGACATAATGGGACATAACATAATCATGTTGTGTGCCCATTTAAGAATGGCTTGCCCCCTCCTCTGAAAGTCCGATGCTATTAAAGCATCAGATTCTGGCTAATAGCGCAGAATCTTGTCATCAAAGCCATTATCTATGCATGGGGGAGGCTGCTTTTGCAGCGTCTCTTTTATTGTGGTTCCTTTTGGTCCAGACACCTGATAGATTCAAGAAATTATCTGCCCTGACCTCTCACCCCTATTTAACACAAACTGGTGACACTGGTCACCAGATAACCACAAAGGACACTCCTGTTCACCAGAGTTACCAAACACATCTAACTAGGTCTCTTTACTCTGATGTCAAGCTGCGTTCTCCAATCAGAGCTCTTTTTGATTTCCTGGAAGGGAATGATTTCCTATTCCATTTCCAGCTGCTAGCCAAGCTGGCCTGTAGCAACTTCAAAACAAAGGAAAAACCAGCTCTTGGTGGACTTCACCAGTTTCCAAGCTGTTAAGAGCTGATCCTACAATAAACTCCTATACTGTATTTATGGTGGTTCTATTTTGATACAC